TCTCTCAACCGGGCTTCAAACTGACTGAGACAGTTGGGGGTGGGGGTCCTGGGCCTGAGATCAGTGAGGCTATCTTCCTTTCAGGTTACAAAAGGAAATCCGCTTGGCTCAGAAAACAGACTATTCATCCAAGTCCCAGAAAGTATCCGGCTCCCCGGCTTTCGGCAGAAGCATGGTATGGGGGAGGGAGAGGCCTGGGAATGGGAAGAAGCTGTGGGCAGTTGAGTTGCCGATTAGAGGTGGAGAGGTTTAAGGTTTAAGGCATTGGGCCTGATCTTCAGCCATTGCCTTCATAGGCCACATTGACCTTGACCTCCATTACCTCTAGGCCAGGGACTCAAACTTTTGTGTCATCAACTCCTTTGACAGTCTGGTGAAAAGTATGGACCCCTTCTTAGAATAAGGTGTATTGTTGTTGTTTTTTAAATTCATAATTGAAGAAAAGGCTAAGTTTCAGTTAGAGGTTAATTAAAATAGAGATATCATTTTCTCCCCAAGTTCACACACAGACTCCCTGAAATCTTTTTAGGCCCCAGGTTAAGAACCTTGCTTTATGAAGAAAATGGCATGCCTTATGGATTTCGTTTCTAAGGGACCTTAGAAATCAAGTAGCATATTCCTTGCTCATTTGACAGTAAGGTAACTGAGGCCCCGAGAGTTTTCAGTTCACACACCTAGTTAAGTGGCTGTCAGGATTCAAATCCAGGTCCCCTGGTTCTAGGCTTTTCAGGGAGTTTTTTTGAGGGGTGGGGTTGGAATACTCTGGGCTCCTTCGATGCTCTTATGGCCCTCTGCCCACAGCCTGGGGACAAGAAGCTCGCCCAGAGTGCCCAGATGTATCACTACCAGCACCAGAAGCAGCAGATGCTGTCACTAGAGAAGTGAGTAGTGGATTTACCACGTGCCATGCAGTAAGCCCAGATACAGGGTGGGGGTGGGGGTGAGGGTGAGGGTGAGGAGACAGGAGACTGGCACTTCACTAGAATCTCAAATAAGCTGCTTTTGTGGAAGAGAAGCTCAGCCCTCAGAGCTCCTCAAGGAGAGGAGTGGAGCCTGATCCCCAATCTGAGCGAAAAACCCAAGAAATCTGGCTCTCCCCTGCCTGATCAGTGATCTGATAACTCTCCTAGCCCTAACCAATAAATCAACAAGGGTTTATCATGTATTATATGCCAAGGGAGAAAAGACAGAAGAAATAACCCAGACAACTACAGTCTCGCCCATATTCCCTCCTCCCTCACCCAGTCCTCAGACTATTCATTTTAGAATCATTGAGGCTAGTCTTCCAGCTGAGGAAAGATATGTGTCCTTTCTCCCCCATGGAGGCACCGGGAAGGGACACACTAATTGAAAATGAGATTGTGAGGTTGGGAGGATGGTGACCTTGACAGCTGGAGAGGTCAGGAGCCAAGACTGGCTTGGGGAGAAGGTAAGCTCAGGTTTCAGTAGGTTGAGGTGGAAAACTAATGAAATGATGAGGTGCCCCCCCCCCACTCCAGCCCATTGAGTGTCTTAATCTATGGGTCTCCTGATCACTGCCTTCTATCCCCTTCTCAGGCATAAAGAGCAGCCCAAAATTATGGACTCTGGGTCCTCTGAGGAAGAGAATGAGGATGGAGACTTCACTGTCTATGAGTGCCCTGGCTTGGCCCCTATGAATGCCTTGGTAGGGAACCCTTTCTTGGGAGTTGGGGTTGGATGGGAGGCAGGGGCACAAAGCAGCTAGCTCCTGGGGGGGGAGTGGCTTGAGAGGGGGCAGAGCCCCCTTTCCTATAGTGGAGTCTTTGGGAGAGCTACAGGTTTGTTCTTCCCTTCCCCCGATCCCTAGCCCTGAGGGAGGGAGAAGGGTCTTTTCTTATGGAAGTGGTCTTTACTGGCCCATTAAAAGGCCATTTATCACTTGTCTACCCCACCCCCCACCCCCACCCCCATTGCAGCGCCAGGCTTGAGCTCCTCCTCCCAACCATTTCCTCCCCCAGCAGGGTGCAAAGAAGTTTTATCTCAACCCCTGAAGCCTCTGTTTCCTGTGGGACCCCCTTCCCATATAATATTTTGGGGGTGCTCAGTCCTCTGGGGATTGGGAGGATCCTTGTTGGTTTTTTCTCACATCAGTCCCGAGTCCCCTGTAAACCTCATCTCCCCTCATGGTCAGTGAAATAGGAGTTTTCTAAGAATATATTCTAACTCAGCTCCTTCTCTAGTTGTGGGGAGAGGTTTGAGAGATCTGGGTCCTGACATCCCACTTTTTCCCTCCCCCCCCCCAGACTGGAGAGATGGAGGTGAAGAACCCAATGTTTGACGACTCTGCTCTGGTGGGCCCTAGCCCCCATTCTGCCTCTAGTCCTCCAGCCACTGCTGGCTCTCTATCTGGATCTGGTCCCCGAGTCAGTTCGGGCTCTCGCACTAGTGGGTCCCGGACTGGCGCCCGCCCTAGCCCCCGGCCCTCCCGGCTGGTGGCCCCTAAATCTCACCAATGACCAGCCTACTGCCTTCTCCTGGCCAGTGACTCCAGCCTGGGAAGGGGAGCTGTGAAGGGGTTGGGGATGGCCAGGGGTGGGGGGGGTGCTAATATTAGGATGTTTCCCCCTATTAAGAAAAAAAAAAAAAGCTCTGAAATCCCAAGTTTTGCTGTTTGCAGTGAGTGCTGGCTCCCCTCCTGTTTGGTCTCTCTGTCCCCTTCCAATGTTGGGAAAGAGATGAGGAGGGGGGCAAGTAAGTCATGAGCTCCCCTCCCCATCCTCCCAGAAGGAAGGGGGTCTACCGTCTGTCCCTTTTCCCAATCCCTTTTCCCGCCAACCTTTTGGGGCTGGGATTTCTCCAAAAGGGGATGAGGGAAGCAGCTTTGTAGTATTCCCCTCACCCAGCCCAGGCCTCCCTATAGCCAGGGCCCTGGCCATGCCGGGAACACAGAACTTGGTGACAGATTTTAGTCTCCAGGTGCCTTCCCCCAGAGCCCCTGGGACAGGGGATGAGGCCATTTACCCCTCCCAGTGGCAGAGCCCCAAATATTTTCTTGGCCCTGTAAACCTGGTATGTGGGCCCTAGTCATTCTGCCCTTCCAGTTTTCTTCCCCCAATTCCCACCAAAGTGATTCTAGCTCAGGATCCAAAACTGGATGAGGTGGGCATTGGTGCCAGGGCCTGGGGCAGGCACCTAGGAGGTTCTCAATCCTCCAGGTCTGTCTTCTCTCTTCTGTGCCTGTGTCTTTCCCTCTCGCTATGCCTGTGTCCTCTCCTTGTCTGTGCCTGCGTCCTGTCCTGTACATTCTTGCACCTGGTTCTTACTGTGAGACCTTTTCCCCTCCTGCTTGTGGCCGGGATTGTATCCACATTCGTTTTGAAACAAATTCAATTTTATTAAAAACAATATTTCAAACCAGCTGGGGGGGCTTCTTTGGTTGTGTGTCGGGTACTCTAGGAGTCCTGTGACATTGCCTTGTATCTGAGATGGATGGATTTGGAGTCTGATCTATGGAATAGAAAGCAGTCTGAGCTGTGGGAGACCCAAGTCTAGAGGCTTTGAGTCTGAATCTCTGGGCCCTTGTCTCTAATTGGAGTATTTCTTGTCAGGTCTGTGGTCTCACTTTGTTGACTTTGGTCTGTAGTGCTTTCTGTGGTCTATTTTGGGGTCTTTGGGAATATGGTTTTGTAGGGTGTTGGACTCTGTGATTGGGGGGGACAAGTGTATTTCTGTGTGATCTTTTGTCTTGTGTAATATTTGGGGAGTCTCTCTAAGTTCTTGGGGTTTGAATTGGGGGGGTACTGCTTTGTGATCTTAAGAGGTTTTAAGATCTCTTAGTAGACTTGGGACATTTTTAGGCTAGGCTTCTGGGGGCCTGAGCCTTGTCCTCTTGGGTGGACTGGCCCTGGGAGGGAGGGGGGGAGAAGATGGGATAGTTATCATGCTAATGGCCTCACTGGGGGAAGAGGGGAAGTCCTGTAGCCTGGCTGCCTTGAAGTGCAGCCTATGATCAACCCCTCCCCCCAGGGGTGGGCTAGTAGCCCTGAGACGGTCTAGGGGGGGAGTTGGGAGAAAGTGAACTGACAGTTCCCGGAAACCTATTCATCACCCACCCAAGGTAGTGAGTGACCTTGGGGAAGGCAAGAAGAGTTAAAACCTTTTTTTTTTTCTTTCCTCTTTTGCAGCCATAAGTAGGTGACCTTAGGACCTATAACCTGGAATGTTGGCCACTGGCTCTGAGATTGGGGAGGTAGGGTATGTTTGGAGGAAGCAGGATTTAACTTGGCCTCCTCCAGATATGAAAGACAGTCCCTAGGCTGGAGGAGGTGGGGATGAAAGAGGGCTCCCTAGGGTTTGTGAAAGAGCTGGTGGGGGTAGAGGGGAGTTGAGAGCCAGCCTTCAAAGGCCTAAACTTATAGTGTCAGGGATTGAAAGGAGAGAGGCTTTCCAGTTTTCTGAGGGGATTTGAGGTGGGGCTGCTTCCTAAAAGCTCCTTGTAGCCCTGCCCCTTCCCCCAGCCTCACCTAGGGCTATGATCTCTCCCCCCAGGCAGCCACTTTTAAAAACTGTGTCATTGTGGTCCACCAGGGTTCTAATGGCTTCTGCTCTGACCTGGAGCCCTGGGGTGGTGGGGAGGGCACAGGTCCTATGGAGCCTGAAGTACTCTTAGGGGAGGGTGCCAGACCAGGTAGCCAGGGATTGGACTGGAAAGCCTTGAGCATCAGGCATGAACATTGATTCGATATTTCTCAACTGCCTCACAATCCAATTTGAGAGATAAGACTCTCATCACAATATGGGACTGTGTGAGTGAGGCTTACATTTATATAGTGCTTTAATATTTACAAAACACTTTTACATTTTCTCTTTAAAACCCTGTGAGGTGGATAGTGCAAGTGTTGTCTCTCCATTGAAGAAACAAAGAGGCTCAGACAGGTAAATGACTTTCTTCCTAAGGTCACATGGCTAGTAACTCAAAGCTAGGTCTCCTGACTCCTTGATGCAGCCAAATTTCCACTACATCAAACTGCCTTCCTCTCAGGGGTGGAGGTGGGAAAGTGTAAGAGGAGATCAAGGTGGGGGATCAGTGTGAACCTGGGTGGTCAAGGAATGCCTGCTGAATGAGATAGGACTTCAGCTGGATCTTGGAATGGTTTTGATAGTATGAGATTGGGAAGTGGAAGACTTTCCAGGAGAGAAAACAATCAGCTGAGGCTCAGCAAAGGCAAGGTTTTGTAAGCTCCTGGAGGGCAGTGTCTCTAGTTCCTAACCCAATTCCTTGCACTTAGCAGCACTTAATAAACACTTGTTGAATTGGATCTCAAATGGCATGGCACCTCTTACCATACTTATTCTGTATTTTGTATTACAGTTAGGTGTGTATAGGTTATATCCTGCTTTAGTAGGCTTCTGACTAGGAACCCTGTCTTATTTAAATTTGACAGAGTTCTGCACCCAACTAGGCTTTTAATAATTTTCATTGAATTAAGTCGCTTTAGAGACAGTGAATAGATTAGTTTGACTGGGCACCTGGCTGGTATAGGAAAGCAGTGAGAAATCAGGGGCCAATTCCTGGGAGACTGAGTGCTGGACTGAGGATTTTGGTGCTGGTTCTGGAGCCATTGTAGGTTTTTTAAGAAGGGGAAATGATGTAATCAAAGCTATGCTTGAGGAGGATTAATCTGGCACCCCAGTGCAGAGAAGATTGGAAGAGAAGGCCTGTTTAGGAAGCTTGCCTCAGGATGTCTATTAAGATTGTTGAAGTTAGCGAAGTGATTAGATGGAGGGGAGCTAAGGAAGAAGGAGGCTCAGAGATAACTGGCTTTGGATATAGATAAAGTCAGGTGGCTTGGGTTTGGGGGTGGTAGGGGAGATGTGGGAGGTGAGTTTGGGACATCTTGACTTTGAGTAGAGGTAGTCATCCTGTGGGCTTGTCTCACAGACATGTGGAGATGCTGCCCTGAACTATGGGGGGAAAAGCTAGGCCTGCAGAGATGGTCTTAAAGGACAGGATATTTATTATGCAAGAAGATCCTGGGTTTTATGGTCCCTAGGGAAGTATCCAGGGATCTCTGGGGCCCACAGATTTTGTGTCTGCGTCTTCCTCCACCCCAGGTTAATGATTCTGAGATTTGAAGGAACTTTATCAGCTGCGTGTCTGGCCTCTGGCTGGAGAGAAATTCTGGGAGGTGGCAAGCCCCACCCAGTCCTCCCTGAGGGAGAGGGAGGTATCTGTTCTGATCTGCCCCTCCCTTTAGCCACTTCACCTTCTCTCCCATTCTCTGTCCCTTAATAATAACCTCCCCATGACCTTGTGACGTCCCTTGCCTTCTTTGAGTGCCTCAGTCTCACATCTTGGCAGGGGGAGAGAAAGGGAAAGGGGGAGAGGGACCTCCTTTATCAAGGAACAGTAGTCATTAGGTGGTAAAGTTTTAGTACTAATCAGGATGGGGAAGGATTATAAGAAAGGCTAGATTAATTGTGTAGGTCTCTGTAGGTGGGTGTTTGTTTCACCTATATCTGCATGTACGTTTCTATCAGCTTGTGCATGTGGGTTTCCATGAATCTATGGGTCAGTGCCCGTATATGTGAATGTGTGCTTTGGTCTGTGTCATATGCATATGTTTTTGTGTGTGGATCTGTTTTGTCTATGTGGATGTTTGTGTGTCTGTCTGGTGGTGTCTGTGTCTTTGTGTGTTCAATCCACAAGTGGTTACTGGGCCTTTAGCACACATGTCATTTTACCACAGACCCCCAAAGAGGCCCTGGGGTTTTTTTGGGGGGAAGAGTGGTCTTGAGTTCTCCTCACCTCCCAGGTCAGCCCCCCAGCTACTCAGGGCCATTAGACAAATTGTTATTTGCATTAACAAGTGTGTCAGGGAAAGGCCAGGAACGGCCCCAGCAATTGTCCCTGACTGGCACTCAGGCCTTTATGGTGGGGCTCCTGGAGCCTGCATTTTTAGGAGCCCTGAATCCCTAGGGGAGGCCCAATAAGGCTCTAAACACCGGTAAATAATGCCTCCTCCTTGCCTCCCACCAGTGCAGAGGTTGGGTGGGGGAAGGGGGCGGGGTTGGAGGTGGAGTTAAAAGCAAGTAAGTCCCCCACTCAATGAACCTCTACCCCTGCCCCAGCCAAAGGATACCCAAGTTCATTCTCAGCCCCCTCCTCTCTATTGTTTTAAAGGGCCAATAGCTGGGATGCTATTAACATAATGATTGAAAGCTCTAGGGCCCTGGGTGGGAGGGGAGGGGTCAGGCTTGTCCCCCAGCACTAGCATCGACTACAGAGTCTCCTCTTCAAAATCTGAGGGGGCCTTGCCCCCCTGTGCACTCTGAGGTCCAAGTGCCTACACTTCCAGTCCAGTCCAGTCCATCGATCAAGCACCAGTAGCTACGGCTCTACGTCCGCGCCCAGGACCAAGACGAAGAGGCAAAGAAGCCATCCCATCAGAGAGGGAAGGTCTGGGTCCTACCTTCAGCTACAGCCAGCCAAGTCAAGCTGGGCATGTTTAACCACGAGGGGCTGCCTCCAGGCAACTTCAGCCTGGGCCAGGGTACGATGCCCGATGGGTCCTCCCACTATGGTAAAAGTGGCTACGTCGGGGGAAGCGCTCCAAGACCATCCCAGCCCCAGCCACAATCCCAGACCTTCTTTACCTTCCCTTCAGCAGTGAAGAGTGAGTACAGCTTGGAGGGACCCTCGACCCCCGACTCCAGCCAGACCAAGGGGTGGTATGCCTTCTCAGCGCCCCCACCCCCAGCTGAAGCCGGGCAGGTCAGTGCCTCCCACAACCTTCACCTCATGCCACCCAAAGAGGAAGACTCATCCTGCTCTTCCCCTTCCTCATCATCCTCTGGGGCTCCTGATCGGGACCTCAGGGAGACCGAAGCTAAGTACTGCGCCCATCCGGGCCCAGCCTACTACGCGCCTGCCTGGACGGGGCCCTTCTGGCCGGGCCTGGGTAGCAGTGGCTCAGTTCCCACTGGGGCTCTGCCAGGTCCCCCTCTCCCTCCTCACCCTCTCCAGGCTCTGGGGACCTTTCCGGGTCCCAGGCCCCTTTACCCAGCCCCTCTCCAGCAGCCCCAGCCAGGACTGGGCAGCAGCAGCAGCAGCAGCATCGGCAGCAGTAGCAGCATCGTCAGCAGCAGTAACGTCAGCAGCAGTGTCAGCAGCACCAGTGGTTCAAGTGGGGCAGCCAGTGAGGAGGGCATCCCGTCTAGTGATAGTGGAGAGGAGGTAAGAAGACATAGTATATTTCCATTATGGATTTCTCCTGGTTCAACCCTCAGCTGGCTTCAGCTGAGCTGGGTGGGAAACCCAGATCCAGAGTCACCTAGGCTTATTTTGCCTAAGGCCTTGTCCCAGAAAGGGTTAGAAAGGAGAAGGGAGGGATTCTGGGCCGTGCAAGCTTGCAGTATAACCTGTGGAGATACTATCTCCCTTCAGGGTTGAGTCTCTTACTGGGGAAGGGGAAACATCTGGGAGCATCGGATTCTGGAGCCTTACTCAGCCCCGTAGAAATAACAAAGTCCACCATCCCCAAGATTTAAGATCCTATCTACCTGGCCCCTCCCCCCCAACCGTGGTATGGTAGAAAGCCAGACTGGATTTTCCTTCCCAGCTTACCCAGGCCAGAAAATCCCCAACTCCCCTGTTACAATTGTCACTTGGCATTTTCCCCAACTTTGTGGGGATCCCAATCTATATAACCTCAAGATCCACTGAGTTGGTCCATCAGAGGTGTGGGGCCTTTTGGTTTGTTTTCTACTTTGTTAGCTCTAGAAGTAAACTGGGCCCCCCTCTGGGTTATATAGACTCCAATATTGGGCCTCTTGGCCTTCCTTCCAGACAAGAGACTGGTCTTTTGTCTCCTCATAGAACCACCCTTCAGCCTCTTGGTCATTTTTCTTGTACTTGGACAGGGGGTATGTTGATCCTGAGGTGCTCAGGCTGGTCTATTCAAACTCCCATGTGCACATCCATGTAGTTCAGTGCAAAGAAAGGGGGTAAAAATATTTTCCCCTTCTGTTGCCACAGCCTTCCTGATGTTGATTGGGATTTTGTTGGTCTTGTGAAAACTGACAGAGGGTATGGTGTACAGTGCTCTAGCTTGTCTCTTTGCCCTGATTACTAACCTTCTGACCTTGGGCAAATCATTTCACTTCTGTTTCTTCACAAAGTAGTGGAAGTACGAATGAATGAAATAGTCCTTTTCGTTTTCAGATTCTGTAAAATAATCACTGTTTGTAACTCTGGAATGTACATTTTGGACCAAGGGTTCCCCAATTTGGGCCCTTAATTACTTTAAAAACTCCATGATCTGTGGTAATTTTCCACCATTCATCCCAAAATAAGGGAGATGATTGGCTTTGTCCTAAAGTTTGAGGCTTCTTCCTAGCCCTGAAATATGTGGGGGAGGGAGAAGAACACTCCAGGCCTTGTAAGTCTCCCTGGCCATTTGACCAGGATCCTTTCACTTAAGCTACCAAGTAAGTTCCTCAGACTTCATCCATCCCTCAACCTCTGCAGGACACCCCAACCTCCGAGGAACTGGAGCTGTTTGCCAAAGAACTGAAACACAAGCGAATTTCCCTGGGTTTCACTCAGGCTGATGTGGGCATGGCCTTGGGCACACTGTATGGTGAGAAGTGGGTAAAGGTGATGGGTTTAGGTGGGGGGGGGTGAAGTTATGATTAACAGAGGTATGGAGGTAGCTGTTCTAATCCTGGAGCAAGTGAGAATAAGATGATAGGGACTCCCAAGTCCCCGTGATTAACATCCCTAAGATCAAAGAGGAGTCAAGGGGTTGGGTTTAGGTTTCCTCTCCTGGTCACTCCTCTCTCCAGCCCCATTGATTTCCCCCAAGCCAGCCTGGTAGGAACTGAAGGGAGGAAAAACAGTGGCCCTGGTCTTTGGGAAGTGGGGATGGGAACCCTAGAGGGCAGTGACTCCCACTTCCGGAGCCCAGAGTTGAGCACCCACCTTTGCCTTCAGGAAAGATGTTCAGTCAGACAACCATCTGCCGGTTTGAAGCTCTGCAATTGAGCTTTAAGAATATGTGCAAATTGAAACCACTACTTCAGAGGTGGCTGCAGGCTGTTGAGAACACCGACAACCCTCAGGAGGTAAGATGTCCCCCACCTCACCCCACTTCCCCATACCCAATAGATGCTTCCCAGGAAGCAGCCTCCTTACAGCCTGCTTGGATGGAGCAGTCGCCATGTGTGGGGTGGAGAAATCTAGATTGAGTTCGGGGAAGGAAGGGGAAGGAACGGGGCTTTCAAAGCCCAGGCTGCTCTTCCCCCCCACCCCAGGCTCTAGCTGTGCCCTGTCCCCCCCCCAGATGTGCAGTATGGAACAAGTGCTAGCCCAGGCCCGAAAGCGTAAACGTCGTACAAGTATTGAGACCAGTGTGAAGGGGACCCTAGAGGGCTTCTTCAGGCGTTGTGGGAAGCCCACTCCACAGCAAATCTGTGACTTGGCAGAAGAGCTGCACCTGGACAAAGATGTGCGTGGTCCCCTGGGCATGGGCAGGTTATGGGGCTGGGTTGGGGAGGAGGCTGGACAGTAGACAGCAGTGAGGGGGGCAGTGTTACAGTATTCAGGGATAGCAGATGAGTTTGGAGACCAAAGGGCCTGACCTGAGTCCCCTCTCTGACCCTCCTAGGTGGTTCGAGTATGGTTCTGTAACCGAAGGCAGAAGGGTAAGCGGCTTCTTCTGCCCTATGGGGAAGATGGCGAAGCATTGCCTTATGAGCTGGCCCCAGGCACTGCCCTTGTCTTGCCAACTGCTGCTGTACCCCAGAACTATGCAGCACCCCCGCCACCTGTGCCCCCTGCACTCTATATGTCTACCTTTCCTAAGGGTGAGCCCTGCATCCCAGGCATGCCCATGCCTAATGGGGGCATCTGAGCCAGGATCAGCATTATAGGAACTTACTGGGGGCTCAGGATGCCTCTTGCTTCCCCCTTCCTTCACTTGCCCTGTCCTGTTGACTGGCCATTGTCTGAGACACAAATGATCAGGCCTTTGCCCAACCCCAGATTCTCTTTCTGCCCCTCCATTGCCTGTATCTACGTTTTTTTGGGCATCTGAAAAACAATATTCAGGTCTTTTTTTCTCCCCCTTCTTTCACCTCACACTCCCAAACTTGTGATGGTTTGGGAGCCAGTTTGGAAATAAAAGTTGGGTGGTAACTGACTGGATTGGTCTCTGCAACTAATTTGGGATGGGGACTTGTGAGGGAATAAACAGTTTGGGGTGGGGGTGGGGCTAGCTGGTGATTCTGCCCGATTCAGCTGGGTGGGAGATGGCAAATAACGGTCCTCATGTGACTCTGGAGCTGTATGTTAGCCCCAATGGCCTTGGAGGTAGTGAGTGCTTCTTTATCACCTGCCTGTGCGTTTGCCCAGAGTTCCACCAGGGGGCAATCTCTTCCACTTTTAATCTTGTTTGTGCCTTGTTGATTTTTGTATTCATTTATACTGTCAAAATGGGGGTTGGTAATGGAGGTGATAAAACTGATTTTCCGAGTGAGAGGAAAGACTATCCCTCCTTGGCTAGCCTGACCTCTTTCTGGGGCTCCTCTACCCTTGGCTCACACCCTAGAGCTCCCCCAAGGTTTTGTGTCTTCCATACCAATCTCTAGATCTCCAGTCTTCTTGAGTTTTGATTTCATGCAGCTGTTTTCCTCCCTTATTAGAGGCACTCTGCATCATCTGAGAGTGTTCACATTTGTATCAGACTACATGTACCCAATCCTTCACTCCCCAAGGCCTGATGTTTGTCTCTTCTGGGGTATTGGCTGTCCTGGAGAGATGTCGAGATGTCTTGGTGTGCCGGGGCCCCCCCCACCTCTGCATGACTAATATTCTGATGGTACTCTATGAGCAGCTTTCAGGACTCTGAGACTTGAGTTAGAGATTACATTGGGAGCTTGGAGAGGGCAGGGACTTTTTGCCTTTCTTTGGATGCCTCATGCTCAGCAAAGTGCCTGGCACATAGTAGGCTAGGCTCTTAATAAGTGCTTATTAATTGATTGAGAGGTGGCACTCTTTTTCTCAACTCTTGCCCTGCAAGGATGTGGGAAATAGGCTTAATAGAAGTAGACGACCTTTGTGGTCTGCCTTGCCTTCCTCTTTTGACTCAATCTCCTTCCCCGGCTCCCTGTTTCTGACATTGTTTCATGCTGACCCGTAAATCCAAGTCACTTCATCTCTTAGGCAGGAGGTCAGAGAAATGTTGCAAAAAAAAAAAAATTCAGGAAGCTGAAGGAAATAATAGAGAATAAAAACCAGATGCCTGGAGGCAAACCTTGAGAGAAAGGGTTATTGTGGACTGTTCCATCCCAGGCAAACAACACTTTGCCAGAGCTACTACAGGGCAGATCCCACAAGGCCTAGGAGGTGCCTCTAAATGCCCCCTACCTGGTGTGGGATCTGTTTTCAGAGCTAAAACAGGAGAATTCAGCTCCAAAGAAGGAACACAAAGCATAAGAATTGGGGTGCTGTTACTCCAAAAGTCTCAATTTTCCCCTGTGACTATTCTGTTCCTGTATACAGGTGCAAATATTCAAGTCTAACCTCTATCCACACAAGTCCTTCTAGTAATTACCAAAGTCATTATCTTCCCAGTTCTGGAAGCATCCATAGTACTTGAATTTGGAGCAAAGTTCAAGTCAGTCAGTCCTGAGTTAAAGATGAAGGAAAAAAAAAACTGATTTTCTCCCACACCCCAGAACAAGACCTAAAAATGGGGTAAATTCACAAAGGATGGAGAAATGTGAGCTCTAGAAATGCATCCTAGCTCCCACAACTCTGTTTGTGTGTGTGTGTCTGTGTATATGTGTGTAGAATCAAAGGGAATGTGCTAAGTGTTTTATGAATATCATTTGATTCTCACAACAACCTTGTGAGGTAGATGTTATCCCTCTCTTACAGTTGAGGAAACTGAGGCAGACAGGTTAATTGACTTGTCCAGGGTCACATAGCCAGCTAGTCAATATCTGAGATCAAATTCGAACTCTGGACTTTCCTGACTCCAAGCCCAGCACTCTTTATGTATTTTGCTACTAGCTGCCTAAGGGGGGCCCACCCCTGGCTTTCAGTGGCTTGTCTTCTCTGCTGCTGACCCCCTTCACTATTCTAGAAGCTCCTCAAGCCAGAACCCGGATCTGTAGTTTCCCTTTTTGGGCCAAGTCCTGATCTGTATTCAGGGGCCCCTCAGGAAATGTTTGCTGACTGATCCCCAAAAGGCGTGCCGGGGAAGAGGCCAGTCTGTGGGTATAGGGTGGGGCCTGCGGGAAGCACCCTGTGCCTGGTTGGCAGCACAAACAGGAAGAATAGCAGGTCTAGTAGCAAGAAGTAAGGTCCCTAGTGGGCCAAAGACAACACAAGATAGATTGAGGTTTGGTTTTTTTTTTCCCTGCTTGCTGCAGGAGCCCCTTTGGGAGTGCAGGAGAACCACCATGCCCATCCTGTAAAAGGAAACGCAGGAGCCTCCTAATTGGCCTCCCTGCCTCCCGTCTCTTTTCTCTAATCCATCTTTCACACAGCTGCCAAAGTGATATTCCTAACTGGTCGGGGCATTCCTTTGCTGAATAAATTCCAATGGTTCCCAATGTTCATAATATCTCGGATCAAATACCAACTTCCCTGGCATTTTATAAATGTTCACAGTCTGGCCCCCACTTAACTTTTCCATTGTATTCAGTGAGCTAGCCAGACTTATCCTCCTCTCCCATCTCAGTGTCTTTCTATTAACTGGACCCTTCCCCTGCCTAAAATGCGTTCTTATTTTACCTCAGCCTCTTAGAATTCCTAGTTCCCTTCAAGGCTCAGCTCAATTATAACATACAGGAGGGTTTTGTTTTATTTATTTTTTTTAATTAGTCTCCTCCACTGACAACTAGTGACTTGTAGTTTTGTATACATGTCTCCCAATTGAATATAACCTTGAGGGAGGGACTTCATCCTTTCTGTCTTTGTAACCCTAGTGCCTGACACATAGTAAGCACTTAAATGCTTAATGCTTAGGTACTTAGCATGTTTAAAGAGACAGGATGCTCCTTTTGCAATAACAGCACTCCAATTCTTATGCTTTGTGTTCCTTCTTTGGAGCTGAATTCTCCTGTTTTAGCCCTGAAAACAGATCCCACAACAGGTAGAGGGCATTTAGAGGTACCTCCTAGGCCTTGTGGGATCCGCCCTGAAGGAGCTCTGGCAAAGTGTTGCTTGCCTGGGATAGAATAGTCCACAATAACCCTTTCTCTCAAGGTTTGCCTCCAGGCATCTGGTTTTTGTTCTCTATTATTTCCTTCAGCTTCCTGAATTTTTTTTTTTTTTGCAACATTTCTCTGACCTCCTGCCTAAGAGATGATGTTACTTGGATTTACCTTTGGCTGGAGTGGAAAAGAATCCTCCAGACTGGGATGAGGAAGTAAAACAGCATCATAGAATGCTAGATTGGGGAGCAACCTTGAAGCTCCTCATTTTACAGATTAGGAAACTGAGACCCAGATAAATTAAGTAACTTGCCAAGGCTTGGCGTGATGTTTGGGACTAGAACCCAGTGCACCTGACAGTCCAGTGTTCTCTATCTTTAATACAACGGGAGGGGAAGTAAGTTTTAGCTGCCCCAGATGTTAGACTCTAGCAAGACCAACAAAACCAATTTATTCCATAACTACTCTTTATAGGTTTACTCCCTAGTTCATAATGTATATAAGATTATGTCTGTTATTTACCCCTCAAAACTACAACTGCAATCCTAGTAAATCATTGCTTGCTAAGAAAGGCATCAAGAAAGAACTGTATGTAACTAACTCCTTGAAGACTCTTACAATACCTTGAGGGACAAGCCTCCGAACTGTTCCCCTTGGTATTGGTCATGCTAATTAGACACAGAAATCTCTTTAGGATACTTTGATTGGTTTTCTTCTACCTATACAATTTATTACGATTTTGCAATTTTGCTTTACATAACTAAACTATTGTGAAGATTGCTCCCTCTTTGCAAAATTTTTATTCTGCTCTGCCCAGCCCAGGTGAAATAGTTTTCTCTGTAGCACCCTGATTCCAGTAGTTAACCGATGATCTGCATCCTAGGGTAGCTAGGTAGTGCTGTAGATAGCTCACTGGGCCTAGAGTCAGGAAGACCTGAGTTCAAATTCAGACTCTGACATTTACTAAATATGTGATCCTGGGCAAGTTGTTTAACCCCTGTTTTTCTCAGTTTCCTCATCTATAATGTAATATATATGATATAATATTAAAAAAAGTATAATAATGGCATCTACAACAATCCTAGGGTTGTTGTAAGGCTCAAGTGAGATGATTGTAAAGTGCTTAGCACAGTGTCTGGTACTTAGCATCATATCAATATCAACTATTATTATCCCAAACAGAGATAAGAAGGGTAAACCCTCAATCCCTCTCACCATCCCTTTGGGGCAAGCCATGCCCTGCAATCCTGGGGAACTGAAACATTGAAATATCTCTAATATGCTGAGGTGGTGCACTGGGTAGTGCACCTGAAAGACCTGAGTCCAAATCTTGCTTATTCCTTACTTATTCACTGTGTCACCCTGGGCAAGTCACTGAACCTCCCTCAGCCTCTGTTTCCTCATTTGTAAAATAGGGATAGTATTAGCATCTAACTCACTAGGATCCAAAAATAGAATCCATATAAAGCACTTTGCAAAACTTAAAGTGCTATGTAAATGTCAGCCATTAAATGTGACCTTGGTTTATAGACAAAAAGAGAGCTCGAAAGTCATTTTTGGTGTTAATACTTTGCGATGCAAACACCCACACATGAATAGCTCCCTTCCTACTCAATGGCCATCAGTACTGACACCTGCAGGTACCAACCCCTGGGGCTGACCAGCTCAGATACTTGTCCCCCTACCCTACCCCACCTCACCAGTTGATTGCAGTTTTCTGACTGGTGGAAAGCTATCTTTGGCTGCAGAAGCCCTTCAGATATCCCTGAGGGATACCAGGTATCTCCCCATCAGCCATTTGCTTCCTTCCTCCTCTTCCCCCCCACCCCTTGGCAATTCTAAGATTGCTGGCCTCTGTGGTCTCCAATAACTTAACTGATGGAGGCCCAGCTTTAGACAGGAGTGGACCTGAGGTGGGCATAGCGGCAAATGCCTGAAATACCTACTACTGCTGGAGGTTGAGGGTTTTCTTGAGCTA